GATGTCCGATATTCCGTTTTAAGGCCGATACCGATAGGGGCCGATTATATCGTGCATCCCTAATAAAAAGTCTTCCTTCCCGTCCCACATTCCTCTGTAGGCACAGCGAGTGAAGAACTGACCCTGTCAGGTTTCCATTTATTACATATTCTAATTTATTCTAGTACATACGCAAACATGAGGAAGACTATGGGTGTCACCTCGTTGATTTTGTTAACCACACAATGTGTTAGCCATCAGTACATGCATATCCTGTGACATCACAGCATGAGCCCTTTTAAACATCTACTCTGAGTGCTATATTTTGACTTGATTCCTTTCTGAAGCACTGCCAGGGCCTTTCCGAGGTTGGGTTTTGGTTTCCAAATGCTAAGAAAATGTTTTACATATTCCAGGATGTTCCATGTCCCTCCGAGGCGCTTATAAAGTCGTCGGACGGTGCTCAGATTGACATGATTGATGTGTCTTCTCAATGTAGAATTCGTTGCTAATATTTTGAATGAAAATAGACGGACTTTGAGCCTTATCCATCAGGTGTTAGAATGTTATCCGCACTAAAAAGTTTTTTCAAACCGCAGTAATTATCAGTAATGGGGACTTAAATGTAAAAACCCAAGATTCAGCAATGAGTTCAGTGAAGCGCTCGCATGTAAACAGACTCTTCGGCACAAAGTGAGGCTTTCCCAGAAACACTCTCATTTCTCCAGAGCCTCTCAAATCATTACCCAATCTCCTTGTCCACTTCTGTCTCTCTGTTTATTTGTATAAAGTATTGTTGAGACAAGGTTATGTAAACCAGTCCCACTTTGTCGTCTCGGGGCTCTGTAGCTTCGGAGGGCTGATGTTATGGGGGAGTATGAATAATAACAGAAAGGAGCCAGTAATGCACATCTGCCTTACATTAATCCAGACCTCTCCTGCGGAGCTGACCTGCATTCCTGAGCTCTCGATCAGCTCCAGGGGCGTTTATTTCATTCAGTGCTCTGCCAGCAGGTAAAGCGGCCCTGTCTCTGTCCACACTCGGAGTTCACACAGCGTTGGATGGATTAACGTGCTTTTAAATAAACTCACTCCAACAGCCTGAAATACAACGTTTCAGGAATACCGTGCAGTGCAAGAATATTGCTGCCACATGATTCTGTTGCATGGCATCCGCCAGTCTGTGTGTTTCACTGAGTCTTCATAAGAGGCTAACAGCTGTGCACAAAAAGAAAATTGTCTTGTTTTTACAAAAAGCGTATCTGAAGTGTTTATATCATGATGCTGCCATCACCATGTTTCACATTAGACATGATGTGTTCATGCGCTGTTTGCAAAAAATAACTATTTTAAACTCAGCTGAGTATGATACCTTCTTTCACATTTTAGCGGGATACGGTGGATGTTATTTGGCGAAATTGGTTCTTTCTTTCGTTCCTCATTTTGCGGACTACATAGCTAATAGCTGCCCCATTAACAGAGCTGATCATCTCTGCAGCTTGTTTAAAGTTACCTGCATTCTCACCAATATTCTGATAAATGCTCACCTTCTGCAAGTGGACGTTAATAACTTATTCATTTATAAATGGAGTTGCTTTAAGAGAGTATTATTTCAGTGCATCTGAGTAAACGGAGAATTATCAAACTTTTTTTTATTTTTATGAAAAAGCTTCCTGGATGGGAAGCGAAATGTCTTAAAAACTTGGAAACAAAATCCAGCGGATCGTTTTTAATCATTTTTGGAATCCAAATTTCATATTTATATTTGCAAAAAAGTTTTTTCCTTCATCTTCAACAAATATTTAATTGTATTAACACTTTTGGAACACTGTCATCTTAAAGGTGTAGAGGCAATGCATGGAGACATCCACAACATGAACGCAGCAAAAATATACAAGCCCCTACTTTTTAGATGTTGTGAATAGATTTTAAAGCTTAAGAACTTTTGGAAAATTCCAAACAGCTCATATCCAACGCTCTTAAATGATGTAATATATCATTTTAGGATATGTTGTGCTTTAAATGTTAATCTTTAGTTTTGCTACCTCTCGTTTTTTATAGGTGTTGCATTCATTTAGTTGTTTTTTTCAGCTTAATTTTTTTCTGGATGTGAAATTGCAGACCAAAAATCAAAACAGCATCAGTCACCACAGCAAACTCTCCTCAAGCGCATGAGATGACTTTTGTCACCAGAACGGAGATAAAGCATCAGCATTGAGCAATATATCTCCCATCGAGGACCACACATTACAGCGCAACCCTGTTGACGCCTGAGGCTTTGGCAAGCACCCCAAAGCATCCTCCCCAGAGCCAGGACGCCTTCATCTGGCTGCAACATTTTCAATAATAACATTGCACAGCTCGTCCTCCAGGGACGCATCTCGGAGTTTAATGGCGGTGTTTAAACGAGTCTGTCAATGCACTTGCCAAATCTGCTCGCTTTCAGCGCAGGCAGGGGTTCTCACACTGAGAAAAGTGACAGGTCAAGCTGAAACAAAGAGGAAAGCTAGTAGTTTGGAGAAGAAAGGAGAGAGGAACAGCTTGCCTTGTTGGTAGACTGTAAAAATATAACATTTCAATGAAAGCCTGTATGGATCAATCACGCTTCAATAGTTCCATAAAAAAGCATCTTAATATATATTTTTATAGCCTGTTGATAATTTCATTCAATTCTAATGATGCATTGTTCTCTTGTTCAACATCAGGATAAACATCTGGAGTTTAATTAAGATCTAAGGGCGCCAATCGGTCTATGGCTTGATCCTCAATGAATGATGAGCTAAATATGTGCAGCTTGGCATCTCATCATAATAGTGTGTTATTTGCACAATAAGTGGCAGATTTGATTTTAAAGACATGCATAAAAGGCTGCTCATATATTTGTTATAGATAGCCTTAAGAATTAGAATTAGCAGGGTTGAAACGTTTACACTCAAAAGTAGAGCTCTTAAAATAAAATTCACGAAAACTAATGTTTTATAGTTAGTAGGACGCCGGTTTCACTGATCATCTGGGACATTTACTGCCCGTAAATAGACCTCTATTGGCTTATGAAGCTCCTTGTAATAAATCCCCCTAAAAATATTTTTTTCTCACTGCAATTACAAAATATCTGTGTAAATGAGTCCTGTTATTTTCAATCCATATATAAATATATATATATATATAATAAAATTAAAATAGGTGGGATCTTGTACAGTTACTCATTTTTCTTTATTAATTAAAGATATTATTGAATTATTTATTCGTTTTTTTAGTCATTATTTTAGGAGTTGATTAATTAGTCAATCTGTAATAGCAAAGGCGAAGAAAAAAACTATAAAATCATTTTTCAACTCATATTTCTTAATTTGTGGTGGGAAATGATTACTTTTGTTGGGATAATTATTATTATTATGTCAACATATTTTTCCTTTTTTAATTAGCAGTTTCTGCAGGCCGGTAAATATAACAACAATGCTGCGGCTCCAAAAAAGAAGAGAAAATGAACCCAAAACGCAAAAAAAAGGCTGCTCTAAAATTATAGTCCATGAAAACACATAAAATAAGAGACATAATCCAAATAAAACCAACATTTATAATAATTCCTTAATATCAAATGATGGATGCAAGCTTTAATATTTCATGTTCTTCAACCAGAAGTTCAGAGAACACTGATTTTTTTTTTTCTTGCAGTCTAATTAGGAACCTTCACCACAAACAGTTGAATGTAACCATCTAATGCTTCAAATGGGATAAGCCTTGCTGTTTCTCATTTCCTCCTCTGCAGATTACATCATGCATCACAGAGCCTTTCCATCAGCCTAACAAACGTCTTGCATGTTACTAATAGTTAAAAGCGCACCAACCATAGCAGGGGATGAGCGTCCCGTTGTGTCCGCCGTCCTGGTGCAGCTTCCCGCCTTCGGGTGGAGTCTTGCAGGTCGGTCTCTGCATGAAGAGCTGGTATTTGTTAAAGTTGCTCTCCTCAGCTCCATCCAGCGACTGGCATTCTGTCTGGAAGGGGCTTCGAGACCCTTTACCAGGAATAAAAGTCGGGCTGTATTTGGTTTCGGTGGCCTGGAAAGTCCTGAAAGGGTTTGTCTGATGGTCTCTACTCTGCGCACTAGACGCGCTGTAATAAGAGTCCATGGATGTCATGTCACAGTATGAGACGCAGGTATCAGCATTCATACCGAAAAGTTACAGTTAAAAAAAAATGAAATCCTTTTGCTTCTTCTTCTCTTTCCCTCCCTTGCCACAGACTGCAGATATTCTCTCCTAATTCTCATGCGCTGACGCGCTCGGACGCACGCACTCTCACGCAGCGAGGCGCATCTGGCTCTGGTTAGGAAAAAAGCAAATCAGATGTTTTCCAGAGACCTCAGACCGAACAAATGCTAAAAGCTCCCTGAAGGTTTGTCGGGGGGTGAAAGAGAAATGGTGAAGCTGATGCTGGAGCTGATGCCGCCTCGGTAGCTTGAACTCACAGTGGATGAGAGGCAGCGCGGCGCAGCGCAGCGCTCCAACCTGCAGGCGGTCTGAATGAGGCCCGAACAGAGCCGCAGCCTGCCTGATGCGCTATTATGCAGCCACCAGGAGTGGGAGGTCAGGATCTGGAGGTGCGGGGGTGGGCTGGGGGGGAGCTTTTTTGGTAAACACGCGGGAGACACAACACATGACATTAATGCAATTAGAGATTGAATATAACGGCTTTGATTCCTACTGTGCTCTGGCTTTAGGCGCTTTTTTTTTTTTTTTTAGAACAATTTGTGGAGATATTTAAAGAAAAAAATAAATGGAACATAATGTCATGTCTTTTCCAAAGAAATATCCATGCTAAATATGCGAGATTTAGTCAAAATTCAATTTTTTTTTGTGCTAAGAAGATAAAAACCCTTAAATTACGAGAAATAGTTGCAGAAGAAAAAAAATGTTAGACCTTTATTGAAAAATCTGACAAAACCTTAAGTTAGAAATGTTTTCATTTGAATGAATCTCAATCATCCCTTTAAAGCAGCTTTAACTCCTGCAGTTAAAAATATAGGGAAACATGGAATCAATAAAAAGTCATTAAGTCTTGCTGCTCAGCCATAAACCGCCCGCTCTGTAAATAGTTTACTGTTTGAACAACTGTAACTCATTGGCAACGATTATCCAGCACTTTTTCTATTATATATTATATTTCTGCAGTAAAATGACCGGAAAACTACCATTTATTGGGGCCTAACGGGATTAACAGCCAATATATATTGATATATTGATCAAAATATTGTGCAAACTGATTTTTTTAGGTAATTTTTATTATCCAACCTGCTGCATTTTTTGCAGGAGAATCTGGTTTTCGATTTAAAGTTAAAAAAAAAAAAGGGCAGTGAGTTATTATTATTTAGCAGTATTTAATTTGGCCCCTGATGGCCTGTCGGATGTGGATTTCTTCCTTTATATGCCTCCAATCCAGGTTTTAATCTGCGTTATATCTGCATTAACGCGCTGGAAGCATAAACTGAGCTGCTGTATAAATGCAGGCGTTTTATTTTGCGCTGTTGGTCTAAAGAAGCAGCGAGAGGCGTTTTAGATTTATTATTTAGTAGCTTCTAACAGCCAGTATTTAAAGGAACATAACAGGCCTCTCTCACTGTTAAATTGGATGAGCTGCTATAAATGGCTTCCCTACAAGCTGCAGCCGTTTATGTTGTTACTTTATTAAACCAGGAAATTTAAATCCCTTTAAGTATAATTATATTAAATTAAATGTTTTAATCTGAACGGTTTTTTTATGTTATATATTAATAGTTTAAGTGGGTCTAAAAGGGTTTTTATTTTTCATAATCTTTATTTTTGTTAAGCATCATAGAAAGTTTATAAACGGTTCAAACCCAAATAAGTGTGGAGTCAACTAATTTAAATTTATGTTAAAAAAAAGGTCCTCTAGAAATAAAAATGTAAGATAATAATAATTTGAATTTTTTTCGTTTTTATTTAGAATAAGTCAATTTATTTTGAAGTTCTTCATTTGTACTTAATGTCTCCATGTTTTTTAAAGTCTATGTTCCTCATAGCAATTATTGAAAACAGTCATTTGAGTTAGTTTCACTAAAAACAGTCCAGTTAGATTTTGTTTATCTTAACTAATTAAAAGAGTCTCCCCATATAACTCCCAAATAATAAAAAAATGTATATTAGATTATACCAAGTTACTGCTAATCATTGTGCAAGATAAAGCATAAAATTATTATTTCTCTATTAGTAATTCACACAATAAAGAATTAAATTAATTTTAAATGAGTGTTATTATTATGTATGAATAGAACAAATAAAACATATTATTTTTTTTACACTGACCGTTGATTATAACCCAACCTTATGGCGTTGCAGCACTGGCCACGCCCACCAGCAAACCGTCAGCCAATCAGGTTTGATTTTCGTGTTAATTTAAGTAAGATCCCACCACTTTGAAATACTTAACTTTTTTCTTTGCATGCACCAAATTTAAATTTATTGAATTATCAATTATATTTTTGTCCTGTTTTTTTGTTTACATTATTTTGTTAAGTATAAGTTGTTCAGAATTGAGTTCTGTTCATATAAAATCTTTTAGTACACTGAATGTTAGGTTTTACAGTGTATTTTTATTGTAATGTTGGTCTCATGAACTCTAAAGAGAGTAGATAGATAGAAATAATTTTTTCATATTTAGCGCATTCATTTTGGTGCAAGATATTTAGAGACACAGCTGGTAAAGTTTCTGGCCTTTTTTTAAATTATTATTATTATGTCTTACTCTGTTTTTCTCATTCCTAACACCTTCCTCTCTCACTGTCTCTAAAAAGTAAAAGAATTGCTAGTTATCTTTTTTATAGTGTGATTTAAACGAAGTTAATCTACACATTTAAGGCCAATTAAGAATTCCTTCCATTTTTCCAGGAGAGGCCCTTCGCTTGCAGTGCTGATATTTACTGAAGAGATTGACAATTGTCTATTTCATCTGTTTATTAGATGATATTTTCTGAAACTGTTTGTCTAACAAGGCATCATTAAATTAAACATGAGGGTTCAAACCTTTGGAGGGCTATTTGATTAGGACAAAAAATAATTAATTCAAGAAAAATGAAGAGGAAATAAAATGTTTTTTCATGCTGATTAGTTGTCGTTTTCATCTCAGCTTCAAGTGACAATTTTTTAAGGTGTTTTTTACCTTAAAAAGTCTTGAATGGAGATTTTTCACCATCAGCATATAATGAATTTTTTATTATTAAAATAAAAAAAAAAACTTAAATTTCTATTCTGTTTCTCCTCATTAATTTATTTACCAGAAATCTCTTTTTTTCCTTTAACAATTGCAGCTTATTTTTCAACTACCTTTTTGAAGATTCTGGTAATTTGATTATTTATTCATGTCTACATTACATATATAAACAGTTTTATTCTAGTTTTATTGTAGAAGCATAAATTGTAGATTTAAAAATATGTTGCATTTAGGGATGAACGATATAATCGGCCCCCTATCGGTATC